CACACACACACACACACACACACAGACACACATGCACACGCGCACACATACACACACTACATTCACTACATGCTGAACATCTGTTCAGGAAGATGGCCCAAGCATGCCCCATCAGTACCAACGACAGGTCATCATACTGTCATCGCCAAGCCATCAAACAGATCCGAGCCAAAGGGCCGTAGGCAAAGCCCTAAGATACATCTAGATTTTCCTTCCTTGCTGAGACTCATCCAGGAATTCTGCATCTGTATGTTGAAGGCGGCCAGGCCGGTGCATTTCAGCACGCTTGGCCAGTTAGCCCACGAAAATAACGTATGCACAGGTGCATCTAAGACACAATGGGGAGGTCCCACTGCAACCACGGTACTCGACCCACAAGCTCTACCAGAGTGTACGTGTACTTGGCTTTTATCAGAGTATTGATATTTCGCCATACACATAACAGGCAACACACACTGCAACAGGCTGAAGGGATGAAGGACACAACACAGCTGTGATGCTTTCCTGTTCCATGATATTTCCCAAGACAACAGGACTGCAGCACATACTAGCCAGTCTGAGCAGCGAACTATGGAGGCCCATCAATCTGGCCAAGAAATGCAACAACGGGCAACATTGTTCATCAAATTGAATAGATGCCAGCGATTTTCACATTTCCATTCCTTACTAAACAATCTCATTCTGAGGAAACAGAAAATACGTACTCTGGCGCATGATAACCGAAGGTACCCAGCACACGCGTGGAATGCAATCTGGGCGCCACATCAGGTGCTTGCTGACTCGGATTGAAATCTCCAAGCTTACAAGTCATGTCTTCCATCAACATGATGTTACTAGACTTCACATCCCGATGAATAACAGGGTCCGGATGCTGCCAACCCAATCCCGAACGCAAAGCAAACGAGCAATCCATTCGTTAGATAGGTTATTGAGGAAGCATATCAATACTCGTAGGGCTGTTCAACTACTGCGGCAAACCCCATTTATTTTTAAACTCACAATGGATCAAGATCATGCCCAAAGGGATGCCAAACCTGCCTCCTCCCCCAACGTTGTATTGGGCGGAAGAAACAGGTTGCACAGCATCTTTAACATTCCTGCCTTAGGTAGCACAGAACCTTAAAAAAGGAAGGTGGAAGAAATCCTTGCCACTACCCTTACCTTCCCATGCAGGTACTCAAGACCCTTGGCAGCTCCAAGGGCAATCTGAACACGTGCCATCCACGGCAATGGAGGTCCAGGTTGTGCACCTTTCACACCCTTTCTCCCTGTGTACAGAAGAAACGGCATGGCATGGACAGATTCAGTTAATCAATAATCATCCTGAATTGGCCTAAACCTCATTTCCAGGCCCTTTTTGAACTCGACACCTTGGCATTTCTAAATCAGACAGTTCAGCTCTCTC